ATATTATCTTCTTGATGAGGCATTTTAATGAAACATTTGAATAGGACTAAATTTACAGTATCAAGAGTCTTAATACAATTTGACATGTTTTCCCAAATGAGTTGCAGAAAAATGACAAGCGGAGAAGAGTGATTTTTCTATAAAGCGGGTAGCCCTGGTCAATTCAGAATTGGAGACAGCTGTGAGTTATAATGGATTCCTCTGAGAATTGTCATATTTAAATTAAACTGATGATCTGATAGCTCAGGGAATAATTCCTGGTGCAAGTGTTGTAAGCATTTTGCTTCCCTGCATGATGTAATATAATTTTTCTCCCCGAATGTCTTCTTTAAATCTAGGTAATTAGAACTAGTATAAAGAGCATTGGTGGCCAGGTGTGGTGGCTTATACTTATAATCTCAGCACTTTAGGAGGCTGAGGTGAGAGAATCACTTGAGCCTAGGAATTCAAGACCAGCCTGGGCAACATAGTGAGACCCTGCCTCTAAAATAAAATAAAATAAATAAAAATCATTGGTTATCCTATCAGAGATGTCTGACTTTGAATTCTGATATGAATATTTTGGAGAAATCTAATAGTTTTTTATTGTGCACATGTTACTTTTCTAATTTTTTCATACTTAAATAGATTATAATATTTCCCTAATAAAGATGCTGTGAAATCGGATAAATGCAATGTGTTTATTTTCACTCATTTGATTTTCATATACATAAATGTATATATAACTGACATGAACCCTTACTTAGTAGGTGTTTAGTAATGTCACAGAGCAAATTCCCTACCATGTATTCCCTTTCTTTTTAAGCCATTCATCTGCCTGAGTAATTTCTCTCTCTCTTTACCCGACATTTATTGTGTCATCAAGTTCTTTTGATTTGGCTTCTGCAATGCCTTTCAGATTGGTTTCATAATGTTCATTCTTTCCTGAATCCTCAGTTCAGGATTGCAACGACATTTTAACTAATTTTTTTCACTCCCCTTAGTCTTGCCACTTCCAATTCGTCTTCCACACTGTCCAGACCTTCTCAAAACACAGTTCTGATTATCAGTCAACATTTCTTGCCTAAATAATTTTAATGACCAATCTTTATATTGCAGGGATCTTGTCTCCTTCATTTTACATCTCCATAGTCAAACAGCATGTTCCACGTTTACCACCCCCTTCTATCAGCTTCTGATGTTTTCTGTGATTGGATTAGGTTATAGCAAACTTTCTGAACAAAAGATCTATAACTGACTTTTTATTTTATTTGAGACAGAGTCTCGCACTGTCACCCAGGCTGGAGTACAGTGGCGCAATATTGGCTTGCTGCAGCCTCTGCCTCCCAGGTTCAAGAGATTCTCGTGCCTCAGCTTCCCAAGTAGCTGGGATTACAGACGTGTGCCACCACACCTAGCTAATTTTTATATTTTTAGTAGAGATGGGTTTCACCATGTTGGCCAGGCTGGTTTCGAGTTCCCAGCCTTAAGTGATCCACCCACCTTGCTCTCCCAAAGTGCTGGCATTACAGGCATGAACCACCGTGCCCAGCCTATAACTGACTTTAAAACGCATGAAAAAGATGTTCACTTAAGATAAGGGATCTGCAAATTAAAACTAAGATATTGGCTTTCATCAGTTTGGCAAAGATCAACAAGTTTAACCATAAATATTTTGGCCAGGATGTGGAGAAACATTCTCAAAGTTTATAGGAAGACAAATTGGTACCATCATTTTAGATAACAGATTTTTTTGTCTTTTTTTTTTTTTTTTTTTTTTTTTTGAGACAGGGTCTCATTCTGTCACCCAGGTTTAGTGCAGTGGCCTGATCTCACCTCACTGCAACCTCTGCCTCCCAGTTTCAAGCAATTCTTGTGCTTCAACCTCCTGAGTAGCTGGGATCACATGTGCATACCACCACACCTGGCTAATTTTTGTATTTTTAGTTGAGACAAGGTTTTGCCATGTTGGCCAGACTGGCCTCAAACTCCTGGCCTCAAGCCATCTGCCCTTGCTTCAGCCTCCCAAAGTGCTGGGATTATAGGCATGAGCCACCACATTTGGCCTAGAGAATAATTTCTTAATATTTATCAAGCATGACCAAAATTTTGACTCAGCATTTTAATTTATCCTACAGAAATACACATGCAAAGATATATACAAAGAATATTCATTGCAGTATCATAACATAAGCATCCCAAAAGATGGGAAATAGCCAAAATGCCTATCAACAGGGTGATGGTTATGTAAACTGCAGTGTATCCATAAAATGTAATCCTACAGAGCCATTAAAAAGAATAATGCAGGCTGCGTGCACTGGTTCACATCTGTAATCCCAGCACTTTGGGAGGCCAAGGCAAGTGGATCACTTGAGGCCAGGAGTTCCAAGAATAGCCTGGGCAATATGGTGAAACCCTGTCTCTACTAAAAATACAAAAATTAGCTGGACGTGGTGATGCATGCCTGTGATCCCAGTTACTCAGGAGTCTTGAGACACAAGACTCAGTTGAGTCCAAGTGACAGAGATTGCAGTGAGCTGAGATCGCACCACTGCACTCCAGCCTGGGCATCAGAAGGAAACTGTCTCGAAAAAAAAAGTGATATGGAAAGAGCTCTGAAATAAAGTTTAACAGCGAAGTGCAGAGCAGTGTATGTAGTATGTTATAATTTTTATAAAATTTTAAAAAATATGTACATATATATTAAGTATTAAAATATCTCTGGAGTGATATACAGGGGTTAAAGGGAGTGGTTGCCATTGAGGATGTGAGCGAGGGACAAGAGATTCGGAGTGGTAGATAGACCACTCTGGCAAAGTTTTTTCATCAGGCACAGAGCAATGGTTAAGCAAGTTATGGTAGATCACCTTGACAATGAGTCTGGTAAATCTCATATATCAATCCTGATGTCTATTGCATCTCAAAGCAGTCCTGTGGGATGGCATTGTTTATCTCTAACAGAGAGGCAAATTGATGATGGATGAGATTGAGTGTCTGGTTGAGGTCCATGTATTGTTAGAAGCAATAGGGATTATGAATCCAGGCCTATCTGGCACCAGCTCCCTGCAGCCTGGCTGGAAAGTATCTCAGCTGTAAAAGATATCCCATTGTATTCCAAGTATCACTCATGTCTATGCTCTTTCCCCACTAGACTGAGAGCTTCTTGAGAAGAAGAGCCACCCATCACTTCATCATCAGCCACTATCACAATGACTAGCATGTGACAAGTGTTCAGTAAAAGTTTATTGACTTGAACAGTTAGATGATTTTCTTTAAGCAATCAGATATTTATGAGATGTAAATGCCACAATCTGCCATCTTTTCTAAAAGGTAGACTATTTTGATTTGTGTCCTCATCACACCAAGCAATTTAAGAAAGAAAAAACAGGATGGTGAGTGTAAAAACTACAGCTGCAGAATTCAGGAGCAGGTTGTTTTCTTTGATGGTGTTTGGTTTTCCAGGGCATGAGAGAAGAATTCAAAACTTTCTACAAACATTTGCCTCTCCACAGGACTGACAAGGCTAAGTGTGAAACAGACTCTGCACTTTATCCTGTGAAAGGTTTTACTAGAGAGCTCTTGTTTCTAGCTCCATTTAGACTGCTCAGAGCAGAAGTTGGCCCCAGCCTGTTTGCCCCTGGAGGATTCCCATCACATGTCAGTGATGTACGTGTCCCCACTAGCTCTAGTGACCTGCCCCTGCGATGTGCTGCAAACACTACACTCAACGGCAAAGTGTCCAGCCTCTGGAAAACTGGTATTGAGAGACTTTCCAGAGCATTAAAAGCTCTTAAAGGGCACTCTAAAGTTACTGGGAATTTTCTAGAACAGTGCTTAAAGCAATATTTAGTTTCCTGAATCTGTAAGAAAGATACTCTTTTATTGGTCTCCCCTAATTTCCCAGCTTCTCTGAAAGCATGAGTCAGCCAATGGAAGAACAGTGGGGAGGTGAGTCTATCAATTTAGACTCAACCTTTGGGATTATTAACTTAGAATCTCAGAGAATTCCTTTGCTAGGATCACTGGGACAAAGCAGAATGGTGTAATGGGAATAGCACAGATAGAAAGCAGATTAACCTGAGTTTAAAACTAGCTTCTGTCAACAACCAGTCATGTGACCTTGGGCAAGTTACTTCACTTCTTCAAGGCTTTAGGTCATCATTTTGCAATATTCTTGTGGAAATGTGATAGGTCATCATCAGCACAGTTCCAGGGACAAGAAACCTTTTTTAAATTTTTTTTTTTAGAGATAGGGTCTTGCTCTGTTGCCCAGGCTGGGATGTAGTGGCACAATCATGGCTTACTGCAGCCTCAAACTCCTGGGTTCAAGCCATCCCCCCACCTCATCCTCCCAAGTAGCTGTAACTACAGGCATGGGTCACCATGCTCGACTACTTTTTAAAAAATTTATTGGCCAGGCATGGTGGCTCATGTCTGTAATCCCAGCACTTTGGGAGGCAAAGGTGGGCAGATCACCTGAGGTTGGGGGTTCGAGACCAGCCTGACCAACGTAGTGAAACCCCACTACTAAAAGTACAAAAAATAGCTAGGTGTGGTGGTGCATGCCTGTAGTCCCAGCCACTTGGGAGGCTGAGACAGGAGTATCACTTGAACTGGAGGCAGAGGTTGCAGTGAGCAGAGATCATGCCACTGTACTCCAGCCTCGGCAACAGAGTGAGACTCTGTCTCAAAAAAAAAAAAAAATTTCTTTTTGTACAGAGAGGGTCTTACTGTGTTGCCCTGGCTGGTCTCGAGGACTGGTCTCAAGTGATCCTCTCACCTCAGTCTCCCAAAGTGCTGAAATTATAGACCTGAGCCACCACACCCAGCCTCCACCAACAATAAATATTGTTGAGCAAAATGAGTGAATAACATACTTAAGATGACAAGCATATAGAGGACCTTAATAAATACTAATTTATTCAGATGATATTAATATCATCTGGATAAAGGCCAGAATTTTAAAATAAATACATAAATAAATAAATATTAATTATCTTCCCACTCTCTGCCCTTCTCACCTTCAGTTCAGGCTATATGTAGCCCTTCAGTGAATTTTTCCCCTTCAAGGCCACTTCCAAAGGTCACCAAGACCTATTTTTAACCAGAAAAAAAAATAAATAAACAAGAATTAATGAAACACCAGCCTGGCCAACATGGCAAAACCCCGTCTCTACTCAAAATACAAAAACTAGCTGGGCGTGGTGGTGCACAACTGTAATCCCAGCTACTCGGAAGGCTGAGGCAGGAGAATCACTTGAACCCGGGAGGCGGAGGTTGCAGTGAGCCGAGATCGTGCCACTGCACTCCAGCCTGGGTGGCAGCGAGACTCTGTCTCAAGAAAAAAAAGAATTATTGAAAGCAAAGAGGAAACATGGAGTGGAAATGTATTCACTTTCGGTTTTTAAGTCCCTAAAGATGGCCTTGTTTTTCTGTTTGTCTGATCAAGAATGGACCTATCCATGTTGTTTAGCAGAGAAAAAGTTTAATTTTGATTTTAAAACCCATTTATCTATAGTGTTACAAAATGGGTTTCAGATAAACAACAGACAGCACACCATTGCCAAACAGTGCATTCGAAACGCTTTGTACTTTTCTTATGTAGTCACCATGGCTCAGTAGTTCAGTACGTGACTTCAACCTCTGACCAACCTAGATTAGAGTCCAAACTTATCACTTATTTTCCTTATGGGCTTGGGCAATTTTCTTAATCTGTCTGACCCTCAGTGTGCTCATCTGCAAAATGTGGCTAACGAGGGTACCCACCTCATGATTTTCATAAGGATTAGATAAAATTATTGCCATGCCTACTATGGTGCCTGACACAAGGTTCCTGTCAACTAATTGTAGCTATTATTATCATCATCTCATTAATATAAACCCATGAGGGAGCTACTGCTATTTTACAGGGAAAGAAACAGAATCTTGGATGATGAATATAAAAATATTTAGTACAGCAAGAGGCGGTGACTCATGCCTGTAATCCCAGCACTTTGGGAGGCCAAGACAGGTGGATCACTTGAGGTCAGGAGTTTGAGACCAGCCTGACCAACATGGCGAAACCCCGTCTCTACTAAAAATACAAAAATTAGCCAGGTGTGGTGGCGTGTGCCTGTAGTTCCAGCTACTTGGGAGGCTGAGGCAGGAGAATCATTTGAACACGAAGGCGGAGGTTGCAGTGAGCCAAGATTGTGCCACTGCACTCTAGCCTGGGTGACAGAGCAAAACTCCATCTCAAACAAACAAACAAACAAACAAACAAACAAACAAATGAACACACAAAAAACATAAAAATATTTAGTACATCACCAAGCAAATAGTAAAAACCCATAGGTGAGCTTAAAAAAAAAATTCAACAGTCTCCAGCCTGGAGATCAGGAGTACTGACCCTCTATTCTTTGCAGACATTTTGTGTAGGAAGAAGAAACTGAAAACAGCCTGTTGACTTGTCTGTCTATCCTTATATGTTAGGAGGAAATGGTCAGAGTTCCTGTACAGCTAGTATGTAGGCACTGCAGTTGTTCAGTAAGTACTTGTTAATCAAATAAATGGAGGGGTGAGCACACAGGAGCTCTGGTCTGGATGTTCCCAGTCAGGAGCTGCACCCGCACTCATTTCTGCTCCAGTCCCCCTATCTTCATTGCTACTTCATTCCTCACCTTAAAGTTTCAGGAAAATCCACAGAAGGTCTTCATTGGAAGATGAGAGGATGTAAACAAAAACCTGAGCCTTCCTTGAGATGTCAACCCTGACAATTATATCTAAAGTTCAAAAAAATGTGCCACCCACATCTAATTGAGAAACTGTGGTAGACTATTAAAGTTGGGGACTAGAAAGACTGTAACAGTCTTGGGGATGAGCAGGTCTCATATTGCTTTAGAAAGAAACAGTTTAAAGTCTGAATAAATCAATGGTTAAGCTTTGGAGACCTTAGTTTAAACAAACATATCTTGACCTACAACAGAAATATAAACATGACCCTAAAAACACATTTGCAAATGATTTTCTTGGCCACAGACATAGAAGAGTACAAAACTACGATCCCCAAAAGAACCCTTAAGTTTGGACTTTATTTTGTAAAATAAATTTGAGAGGCCTCTTAGGGATCATAGTTTTGAACTGTTTTATATTTGTGACAGAAGAAAACATATAGGAAAGAAATTTTAAAATTTAAACATGAAGGCATGTTTGTGAGAGAAACATTAGAAGGAAGAAAATGAAAGTCTATAATAGTGGCTTTAGGGTCAGACAATCCTAGGCTAGAATGCTAGAATTCTGGCCCAATCAATTACTAGTAGGTGAGACTGAGCAAGTCATACACATATACAACTACATACACACACACATACACACACACGATTGTAAGATTAAATAGATGGTTACTGTTAATTACTTACCACAATGATGCATAGTACACAGAATGTGCTTAGTAAATAATCTTTTTTTCTGCTTTTTTATTTTTATTTTTAAAGAAACAAGGTCTCAGGCTGGTCTGAAACTCCTGGCCTCAAGCAATCCTCCTGCCTCAGCCTCCCAAAGTGGTGGGATTATGGCATGAGCTACCACACTCAGCCAATGATAGTTTCTATTATCAGAGAAAGAACAGAAAGAGAGGCCAATCCCTTGACAATAATTTCTCATATCCACCAGAGTTCCCAGACAGTCACCAGAAGCAGTGTTTTATTGCTATGTTTACAAGGAATTGCCTAGAAGACAAGCATCTGTGATGTGGGGACAGCATGAAATTTAGGATTAGAAGAATCTAGGCCCCCAGTTCTGACCCTAACACTTTCAGGCAATGTGTACTTGAACTAATCACATAACATCTCTTGAGATTTGGATTCCCCATTTGAAAATGAGTCCCAGGATTTTTCTGAGTACTAAGAGAAATAATGTGGGTTATAGCCCTTTATAAATTGTGACACTCTTAACCGTAGCGAGTCCTTTAGTCTGGCCCTGTAATAGTCTTGCCCTAAGAAAGTACATATAGTCCTGTAAGGTAAGGTGCCAGGTTTCCCATCAGATGGGCTGCAGAGGTCTCATGACCTACCAGCCACACTTATCTCAGATGCCAGGCCACTGACATTTCAGGGTAGAAGAGGACATAAAGGAGAACTCTGACACAAAAAAAGTTCAAAGTCAGCTGTCCCAGGCCAGTCAAGCAAGGAACTTTTCACCATCTCACCCTGATCAGAAAAGCTCGCCTGTACCCTCAACATTTTCACATAAGAAATTTTTCCTAAGGGATCCAAGAATTTGAAGGAAAAAGAGGGGCTAGAGGAAAAATGCTTTTGCTCAGTAGTGACAGCAGACTTTTCATCCTCATACCCATGCAAATAGTGAGCATGTTTCCTGAGCTATTTCTTACAGCAGCAGTGTGCTGTCATGCAAAAAAGCTTGCATGACTCAAGGCTTGGCTAAAACCCTCCATTCTTTAATTAATGTGTGACCCTCAGTTGATTGCCACTTCCTTCGAATTATAGCTGCTTCTTGAAGCTAAGCAAAGTCACCAATGTAGAGGAGACACTTCCAAGTTCACCCGGTTGCTCTTAAAAGGCAGACTTTTTTTTTTTTTTTTTTTTTTTGAGACAAGGTCTCACTTCATCACCCAAACTGTAATACAGTGTTGCAATCATAGCTCACTATATCCTCAAATTCCTGGAATCAAGTGAACATCCTACCTCAGCCTCCCAAGTTGTAGGGATTACAGGGGTAAAACAGCATGCCCTGCAGAAGTCACATTTTTAGTTTCCAAATAGGTTTCACCTCAAATTGTTCTTTGAATTTTTTTTTTTTTGAGTTAGTCTAGTGTCCCCCCTTTTTTTGTAAGCTCCAACTCTATCTTCTTTTTCTTTCTTTTTTTTTTTGAGACGGAGTCTTGCCCTGTCGCCCAGGCTGGAGTGCAGTGGCGCGATCTCGGCTCACTGCAACCTCCGCCTCCCGGGTTCACATCATTCTCCTGCCTCAGCCTCCCAAGTAGCTGGGACTACAGGCACCCGCCACCTCGCCTGGCTAGTTTTTTGTATTTTTTAGTAGAGACGGGGTCTATCTTCTTTATTTGACAATTTAGTACCAAGGCCTGAACCCAGCACATAGTATGGTCACAATACATATTTGTACAGTGACTTCCTATAGGAATTAATCTACAACTCACTGTAATCTCCTTGATTAAGCCCCCACAGTACCCAGCAGAATGCATAGCAGATGCTGAAGAAACACAAATTGATTAATTTATCTGTGTCATATTTATCATCTCTTCCTCCTGCTTCACTGGCATCTTCTCTTCTTTGGGAAGTTGAAATTTCCTGCTGTGTTTTCTACTTCTCAACTTCCACCAACCACTGGTACAAGCTGCCATACTCTTGGAGACTTCTGGAATCTCCCTTTATAGGAAGGGTTGCTCGATTTAGCAAATAAAAATATAGGACACCAAGATAAAAATGAATTTTAGATAATCAATGAATAAAAATTGTATAAGTATAAATACGTCCCATTCAACATTTGGGTTATATTTATACCAAAAAAATTTTCATTGCTCATCTGAAATTCAAATGTAACAGTGCATTTTATCTGGCAACCTTATTTACAGGATCTCACAAGTATTGACACTAACATAGAAGTTGTCATTTCTCGTAACTACACCTTTTAGGCTCTGTGCTATTTATTTATTTATTTATTTATTTATTTATTTATTTATTTATTTATAGAGATGAGGTCTCATTTTGTTGCCCAGGCTGCTCTTGAACTTCTGGGCTCACATGATCCACCGTCTTTGACTTCCCAAAGTGCTAGGATTACAGGTGTGAGCCATCACACCCAGCCTAGGCCCTGTGCTCATTAATTAGTCAGTTCCAAACACCCTAACGAGACAGAAAGCTGCTTTATCTTCTTCAAGCACAGGCCTTGCTCAGAGTAAGGTGTTGGGGATGGGAGGATCAAGTACTTCAGTTTTTCTCCTTAATTTGAAGTTTCCTTCATTCAACTAGTGAGCTGCCCTCTCTTCTCTCAGCTGAGGGATAGATATTTGTATATATTCCACCAAGCCCAAATTAAGAGCATCCAAACACTAAGCGTAGATTTCCTCCTTTGCATTGCGCCTGACACAGTTTATCCTTCCAGATCACCGGGCTGCTGCCACTGAAACATAGAAATCTTACCTCCTTCTCCAAACATCAGAGACCTTTAAAACTCTCTCCTTTGTGTGCTTCTTAGTGTACTCAGTTACAAAGTCCTGGTTTTGTTTTTATTGCAGTTACTTATTTTCTGTTGTTTTTCTTACAGAAATACTTCTCCTATCTGCCTCTTCCTCTTTCATTCCATTTCTCCAGCCTGTCTTGTTCATTTAATATGTCATCACCTGAGACCTAGATTGCAGCAACAGTGTCTTAGCTCTTCTGGCTTCTTGCATTTGTGCACCTCCTAGAAAATGTATCCTTATATAGTCTCCTTTTCCCATCTGGGATTCCCCTTTGGGGAAAGCTGGCATAAACCTTGATTTTCTATTTAACAAATCAATACCAGGCTCCACAGCCCAGGCTTCAAGTTCCCCCAAGCTTTCTATTTTCTTCACCTTGTCCGTCTTCCATAGGCTGATACAGTCCAATTTCTATTTGCTCAGATCTGGGCCTCATCCCCACATCTGGCTGCATGAGCCCCATCATTGCTCCTGCCTTGAATACTCAAATCCCTTCCCTCCTTCTCTGGAACAATCCATGTCCCTTACCTCCTTCAAAACCCAGCTTATTAGAAGATAATATAGCCAATCTTGGGGTGGAGAAAGCCTTTTCAAAGAGAAGCAAACAAAGGAGGAAAACGCAAAGGGAAAAGTTTAGTAGATTTGATTACACAAGAATGAAAAGATTCTCTATGTCAAAAAGTACTATCAACAAAACAAAAACAACTAGAAAAAAAATTGCTACCTATAATAGACAATGTTAGTATTCTTAATATAATTTGCAAATCAGTAAGAAACAGACATGCCAAAAGAAAATGAAGAGCAGGTATATTTGTGTGACACACACGAAGTAGAAGAGGCCAAAAACATGAGAAACCACAAAACCTCAGTAGTATTAGAGAAACAGAAATTAAAAGAATAATGAATTTCCTTTTTCTTTCATCAAACACATTTTTTAAAGAATGATACTCCATGTTGATAAGAGTGAAAGAACAGGATTTTTCTTACATGCTTTAGCAGTGCTCTTTCTTTTCCTTCCTTCCTTCCTTCCTTCCTTCCTTCCTCCCTCCTCCCTCCCTCTCTCCCTCTCTCTCTCTCTCTCTCTCTCTTTCTCTCTTTCTCTCTTTCTCTCTCTCTCTCTCTCTCTCTCTCTCTTTCTCTCTTTCTCTCTTTCTCTCTTTCTCTCTTTCTCTCTTTCTCTCTTTCTCTCTTTCTCTCTTTCTCTCTTTCTCTCTTTCTCTCTTTCTCTCTTTCTTTCTTTCTTTCTTTCTTTCTTTCTTTCTTTCTTTCTTTCTTTCTTTTTTCTTTCTTGAGACAGAATCTCACTCTGTTGCCCAGGCTGGAGTGCAGTGGTGGGATCTCAGCTTACTGCAACCTCTGCCTCCCAGGTTCAAGCGATTCTTCTGCCTTAGTCTCCCAAGTAGCTGGGATTACAGGTGTATGCCACTATGCCCGGCTAATTTTTGTATTTTTACTAGAGACGGGGTTTCACCATGTTGTACAGGCTGGTCTCAAACTCTTGACTTCAGGTCATCTGCCCGCCTTGGCCTCCCAAAGTGCTGGGATTATAGGCATGAACCACCACGACCTGCCCCTTATACTTCTTTAAAAGAGCATAGATTAGGAAAACCTAATTGTTTACTTTGTTAACAGTGTTTTCCAATTTTCCTACAATAAATATGTATCCTTTTTAATAATTAACACAATATGTATATGCACTTTTTAAAATCTTATGAAAGTTGAAGGGAGGATGAGGCAGGAGAAGAAGGAAAGTGCATTTTTCTTAACCAGATAGGCCTGGTTTAAAAATCCCTCATTGCCACTAACTAGCTGCAATTGACTTCTCAAGCCTGGGATCCTCACCTCAGTGAGCTGTTAAAACAGAAAAAAGTGTGTAACTGTTATTATAATACCTGGCACTTTGTAAACATTCAAAAAGTGGTGTTATTTATTATTATTTTGTTGTATCCTCAGAGAGCATATAGTTTCAGTCTTTTGCATGTAGTAGATACAAAAATAAAACACCCACTAGATTGTCTGATTTATTATTATTATTATTATTATTATTATTATTATTATTATTTTGAGCTGGAGTCTGGCTCTGTCGCCCAGGCTGGAAGACAGTGGCCTAATCTCGGCTCACTGCTACCTTCACCTCCTGGGTTCAAGCAATTCTTGTGCTTCAGCCTCCCAAGTAGCTGGGATTACAGGCACACACCACCATGCCTGGCTAATTTTATTGTATTTTCAGTAGAAACTTACCACGTTGGCCAGGCTCATCTCGAAATTCTGACCTCAGGTGATCCACCCACCTCAGCCTCCCAAAGTGCTAGGATTATAGGTGTGAGCCACCACACTGACCCTGATTTTTTCTTTACCTTTGATATTCTTCTTCACTAACCCCATTTTCTCCTTCCCCTTTTCCTTTCCTCCTGTCTATTCAACAACTGTCCTATTCATTCCCTTTCTTCTTATCACACTGTTTCTTATGGACCAGTCTTTCACAACTTCTTTGAATAGCATTTTTCAGGCATGGCCACATGTGCCTGTAGTTTCCAGCAACTTGGGAAACTGAGGCGGGAGGACTGCTTGAGCCCAGGAATTCGAGGCTACAGTGAGCCGTGATTTTACCCCTGCACTCCAGTTGGAGCGACAGAGCAAGACCATCTCAAAAATAAATAAATAAAAATAAAACCCAGTTCCAAAAGCTGCTGGTTTGTCAGACTTACCTGAAGTTCACCAACAATGACCACGGGCTCCAGTTTCCCCTTACTGTTACTCCTTATTTTATTAATATTTTGCTTGAAACTCATCTGTCTTTGGAATGCTTCCTATGCTTGACTGCACCTGAGTCTATTAACGTCGGTGTTTCCTGGTAATCTGTGACCTATTTGTCTGCTGACCTCTTTCCTCCAGACAGAAGCTAATTCTGTGTTTCTTATGATGCTTCTTGCATGTTCATATTCATTCGTGTTATAAATTAAATTAATAGTATTTCAGATCAGCAAAATAGCTTCCCTTCCCTTCCTCTTCTTTTCCCCTTTTGTCCCTTCTACTTCTTTGCCCTCCTCCCTGAAAATATAATTATTAATTATTCCTTTTCTCTGACATCAATCTATATTTGCTTTTGGAAAGTAGAATGAATACTTTTTTACCTATAACCCATACTGAAATATGTCTTTTTAGTATTTGGGAAACATGCACTAAACACTTTAGGACAGCTGCTAAGAGATTTTGACAACAGCAGAATGTGATTATGCAACAAGCACTGGATTCTCCCCTCCATATCTTTATAACTATTAAGGTCTATGATTATGGGGCTTGGCATTAGACCAGATGTGAATTCTGTCTCCAATGCTATACAACCTTAGGCAATTCACCTAACCTCTCTGGGATTTAGCTTCTTTGTCTATAAAAAGTTGATAACATCTATAACAAAAGATGGGAGTTAAATGTGTATAAAGTATATAAGAAATAATCTAACACAGAGTAGATGTAGGGATACTATCTAACTTAAAGAGAAATGTGCATTTCCCCTTCCCTTTAGGAGATTCATTCATTTCTTAGGGGATTTATAATCCAATGGGAAAAGTCAAGATCTACATAAACAAACACTAAACATAATCAAAATGAATTTATTAAGCACATAGGACTTAAAATGTGTCATATACTCCACTAAAGGAACTTTGCAAAGACGGTCTTATTTAATCTTTATAACTGGTACTATTATAACTTTATTTATTTATTTATTTATTTATTTATTTATTTATGTATTTTGAGGCAGAGTTTTGCTCTGTCACCCAGGCTAGAATACAGTGGAACGATCATGGCTAATTTTAGCTTCTACATCCCAGGCTCAAGTGACCCTCCCACGTCAGCCTCCCGAGTATTGGGACCACAGGCGCGCACCACCACGCCTAGCTAATTTTTTGATTTTTTTGTAGAGGCAGAGTCTTGCTATGTTACCCAGGCTGATCTCAAACTCCTGGGCTGAAGAGATCTTCCCACTTTGGCTTCCTAAAGTGCTGGGATTACAGGCATGAGCCACCATGCCCAGCCATAACCTCAATTTTAGGATGAGGAAACTGACATCCCTATAGGTCCTGTAGTTAGTAAGGGGTACAGCCCATGCAGTCAGGTACCAGTGTCCATGCTCATAACCAATCACATCATATTGTTCTCACTTATGTCTTGCACAGAGTTGGAACTCAATAAATATTTTCAATATTAATAAATAATTGTAATAAATAATTTCATAAATAATTTTAATAAATAATAAATAAATATTAATAAATAATTTCAAATATCTCTTCTAATTTCTTTTTCCAAAGCAAAGAATAACTACCACACATCCCAGAAAAGCACATCTTACCTAATCTTTGATCAAAACAATTGGCTGCTTTGCACAGTCTAAAACTCAGATACAGTTTGGTGCAAAGAAAACAGGGAAAAACGCTGGGCGCTGTGGCTCATGCCTGTAATCCCAGCACTTTGGGAGGCCGAGGCGGGCAGATCAGGAGGTCGGGAGATCGAGACCATCCTGGCTAACACGGTGAAACTCCATCTCTACTAAAAATACAAAAAATTACCTGGGCGTGGTGGCTGAGGCAGGAGAATGGCGTGAACCCGGGAGGCAGAGCTTGCAGTGAGCCGAGATTGCGCCACTGCACTCCAGCTTGGGGGACAGAGTGAGACTCCATCTCAAAAGAAAAAAAAAAAAAGAAAAAAAGAAAACAGGAAACTTGGGTAACTTTTACTGTTGAAGATCTGGTTTCCCTAAGGCTAGTGACTCTGTAATAATAAACAGTCCAGAGTATGAATAAATGACATTTTTTATTAATGGTCCTTTTGGACTCCACAATCTCTTTCAGAGAGAATTCACTTAGCAAGTTCCTTTAATATTTGTTTCCTCATTTAATTCTCACAACTACCTTATGAATAAGTATCATTTATAGACCTAATTTATACTGGAGAAGCTGGGGCTCATAAATGTTGAATTTCCCAGGTCAGCAAAACCGGGAAGTGATAGGACTTGAACTTTGAACTCTGCAAAGCTAATGACGTTTCTGTCATCCCACTCTTAGAAATGGCAATATCTATAAGGTTGTGCTGGAAATCTTCCCTTTTATTAACACTGGGCCCCGGCACCTCACCTGTAGGCTCAGAGTTCCGACTACTTTGTGAACTGAGGAGTGTTGTGATGGAGTATGAATCTGTCTTTGGAAACATTTGAAGCCAGGCATGGTGGTGCATGGCTGTAGTCCCAGCTACTTCAGGGGCTGAGGCAAGAGGATCACTTGAGCCCAGGAGTTTGAGGCTGAAGTGATTGCAGTAAACTATGATCATGCCACTACACTCCAACTAGGGCAACAGAGTGAGACCTCATCTCTAAACAAAACAAAACAAAACAAAACAAAACAAAACAAAAAAGAAGAAGAAGGAAAGAAACATTTAGAAATTTGGAAGAGACAGCTGGGCGTGGTGGCTCACCCCTATAATCCCAGCCCTTTAGGAGGCCAAGGAGGGTGGATCACGAGGTGAGGAGATCGAGACCATCCTGGCTAACACGGTGAAACCCCGTCTCTACCAAAACTAAAAAAATTATCCGGGGGTGGTGGTGGGCTCCTGTAGTCCCAGCTACTCAGTAGGCTGAGGCAGGAGAATGGCGTGAAGCTGGGAGGCAGAGCTTACAGTGAGCTGAGATTGCGCCACTGCACTCCAGCCTGGGCGACACAGTGAGACTCCAACTCAAAAAAAAGAAAGAAAGAAATTTGGAAGGGCCAGAAGCGGCAGCTCACACCTGTAATCCCAGCACTTCGGGATGGCGAGGCAGGTGGATCATCTGAGGTGAGGAGTTCAAGACCAGCCTGACCAACATGGTGAAACTCCATCTCTACTAAAAATACAAAAATTAGCTGGGCATGGTGGCACATGCATGTAATCCCAGCTACTTGGGAGGCTGAAGCAGGAGAATCACTTGAATCGGGGAGGCAGAGGTTGCGGTAAGCCACGATCATGCCATTGCACTCCAGCCTGGACAACGAGAGTGAAACTACGTTTCAAAAAAAAAAATTTGGAAGCACTCTGTGTTCTCAACCAACAATCAGGAGTGTAACTTTGGCAATAACCGTTTCTCTTAGAACATTTAGAGTAAGTCTTCAGGACACCAAGTTAGTAGCTCTGATTTGAGGCTATGATAATGGGCAGAAAACATTTTGTTCCAGCCAGTCTGTGGCTCTGTCCATCAAAATTAATGATACCAAAACACTTTGAAGATTCAGACTGCTATAAAAAGATGAATTGTAAAAGCCGTAGACCTCAACTGTATTTAACCCTGTTTCAGTATTACTAACATTTCATCCTGCTGGCTAGGTTTTACTATGAGTGCCCCATTAGGACATTCAAGAATGTGGCTAAGAATATGGTTGACACCACTGATGTTGGTGTTCCTTATTGAAACCATTATGGACACTAACTTTTCTTAAAGTAAAGATAAGGTTTCACTATGTTACTCAGGCTGATCTCAAACTCAGGGCCTCAAGCGATTCTCCTGCCTTGACTTCCCAAAATGCTGGGATCATAGGTGTGACTGCCATACCTAGCCATGAATTTATGTATTTATTTATTAAGACAGAGTCTCACTCTGTCACCCAGGCTGGAGTGCAGTGGCCCAATCTCAGCTCATTGCAACCTCTGCCTTCCTGGTTCAAGTGATTCTAGTGCCTCAGACACCCAAGTAGCTGGGATTACAGAGATGTGCCACCCAACCCAGCTAATTTTTGTATTTCACCATGTTGAAGACAGGGTTTCACCATGTTGGTCAGACAGGTCTTGAACTGCTGGCCTCAAGTGATCTCTCACCTCAGCCTCCCAAAATGCTGGGATTACAGATGTGAGCCACTGTGCCCAGCCGAATTTATATTTTTAAAGAGAACCTACATGCTATCCAAAAATAAACCTGGAGTGATTCCATCTTAAGGCATATTTTAAATGAGTAAATTATCCAGTTCTAAGATGAAGATCAATTTTATAGCAAGATGACAAATTGATTCTGAACTCTTATTAATGTAGATATCATCTATTTAGACTTAGAGATAATTTTTACAGGGTTCAGGGTAAGTATATTTTGGCTTAGCAAACCCTTTCTTCTAAATATTAAGTCGTAACATGGGGTTCCTGGATATTTAAGGGATCTGTAGAAGTGGTAAAGGAGGTTTCAGAACAAACGTCAACCTCAAATGGGGCTGTGCAGGCTAAATCACATGTTAACTTAGGGGCTGTGGCAATCAACTCAGAGTGACAGATTAGCTCTGATGGGCACTCACAGATGTTCCTGACTATGATCCATGATGCAAAGGATAGGGTCTATGTGTATCAAAAAATGTACTTGATGGTGAAATATTTGGAAATAACTTTCCCAGAGTATAAATTAATAAAATTTTAAGACCATAGAGGAACATTTTAAAATACAATATGATTTTGGGAGTGATGTCAGCTAGATGGCAGAATTGGAGTTTTTAGTGCCTGTCTCCTTGCAGAAACACTAATTTAAATAGCTATCTACATGCAAAAATACTTTCATAAGAGCTAAGGAATTCAGGTAAGAGATGACAGTATGTAGGTGGAACACAGAAATAAGAAAAGATGCATTAAAGAGGGTAGGAAGGACAGTTTTACATTGCCCACATTATGTCTTCCAAGCCTTCTGAAGGAGGAAGAGGAGGGAACACCCAATTTTACCATGAACCACAGCACCAGACCCTCCCCAGTGAACCCTTGTGGCTGGCTGGTCCCCGTGGATCCAGACTCTAGGCCGCCCCCTGCACCCCTAGGCTCCAGGCAAGACCCCACACCCCAAAGACCCAAGCTCACCCAGCACCAGGCTGGCCCCCACATCCCCAGGCTTTAGGCTGGCACCACAGACCAAGCCTCTAGACCAGCCCCACAGA